TAAAACTATAATCTCACTGTGGTAATTTTTATCGCATAAACAAGTTCATGTTTATGAGCCTTTTAATCATTCAGTGTGGGTTTGTATTTTTCATGTGTAACAAAGAACACCTAACCAATGTGATCTTTAAAAAAAAAATTGAACCCTTGATAACACTAAGAGAGAGAGAGAGAGAGAGAGAGAGAGAGAGAGACTGAGACTTTTAAATCCTCCAGAATGTGAAAGTCTGCCTGGGGATTATAGCTAATGCATTTTACTCTTATGACTTGCTGATTCCACCGACAGCCACCCCGGGGGTATAGCTCTAATCAATGGCTTTATCCACTTGGCGATCTATACCTGAGAAACACAAACTGGAGAAAACCTCGATGTGTAAAGGAGAGCTATAAATCAGAATGCCAGGTGACATAGCTTCATTTTAAAAGCGAGTATTTAGAGATGCTTGGATAAAATAGTCCATGGGCACAAATTTATGTTCTTCACACCCCGACAGAATCGCACCCTGTCCCTGTTATTTTTATCTAACAACAGGAATGAGAAGGGGGAGAGAGGAGAGAGAGCTGGCCCCTCTCTCCTTTCTGGGTGGTTTGAATGACTTCAAGCTGACTTCCTTGGCTAATGCTGTCTACGCAATCTTTTCTTTTTTAAGTTTGCGTGTCTGTGTATGTGTAGAGACGATGTGTATTGTCAACTTCAAACCAAGCAGTGCCCAACGGGCTGGCAGTTTCCTCTGCATTGATATTTACACGCACAACTGGGGCTTCTGGCTCACAAGAATCAATACAGTAGCAAACAAGCCGAGGCGTGTGGAAAAATGCTACTTCTCGAGAGTTCGTTCCATTCCTTTCTCCCGTATGCCACAAGCGTATCCGTCATATGTGTTTGAAGTTTACTACTTAATATTCCCTTCCTTGGAAAACCTCCTAAGGGTCCTTGTTAAAGGTCAGAACCCGGGACACCTGCAACAGTGGGGGCTGAGGACCTTTTTGAAAACGAAGGACAAATAACCACCCGCTCCTAGGGGCTTCTCCTAGGTAGACCTGTCCCAGGAAATAAGCCACAGGGGTTCCCTGTGCCATTTCAGGGAGTCCCAAATCCCAGGTAGACAAGTCAGTAGCTAGCTTCAGTAAGGAGCAGAGGAATTAGGGCTATACATTCAAGCCCCACTCTGAAAATAGCTGTAAGTTTGGGAATGTGTAAAGAAAGCATGTCCCGTGAGCACAGAAGTGTCACCTCCCTGGTGGGCGTGTGACACAGAGTGTGTTTCCGTGAGGTGTGTAAGAGGGCTACACACTAGACCATACGCCCCGATGCGAGAGCAGCTCCATGGATCCTATCCAAGCTGAATTCCCACTGCCCCAACAGCGGAACGCCATACTCTGTATGCTTTGTGCAGGGCAGTGACTTCGAAGGAAGGCAACTGGTATTTTTCTGGATTCTAAACAAACGTTTTTGGAAAAAGAAAGAGATCTCTGTGCTTAGGGACTTGCAAATTTCCACATAAAAGGAAAAGGGTTGCCTTCGAAGATGATATCGAAAGAAGTCACAAAATGCACACACTGTCCGGTAAACAGAGCATAAAATATTGCCTGGGTAACTGGGGGGTGGGGGGCAGCAAGGAGACGTTGCTCCGTAGTTTCCAGCTGCATGAAGACACATCCAGCTCATTCTGGATTATCTCTGCCCCTGCTGAGTTAATTCCATAATTGACATCCGAGAGCTCACCTGTAAATGATTTTCACACTTCACCGAAGAGTTCACCTGGGTTTCCGCCTTCCTCGACACCCTTCCCCCACCCCCACCCCCATCGGAAGATCTAGCACAGATATTACAATTCACTTCCTAATACGCTCTCCTCAAAGCTGTCCTCGACAAGAGGGACAAAAGAGCCACCAGACTCTACTTTGGTAAAGATAAAATTTTACATTTAGGAAAAACTGAGACTCGTTTTAATTCTACCCTTTTGTTAACATTGAAGAACAGAAAGTTACCCAGTCTGTAACTTTTGATGGCCCCGAGAGCTTATGGTATAGACAGTGTACCTTAAGGCTTAGTTTCCGCGGTTTTCTGCCTGAATGCCTTTCCTCACTTAGGACTTTTAATAGCATTTCACTGAGTGCTTGGTTTTATCCTTCCCTGCAAGCAACAGCTGCCAACCCCGCTCAGCCCTCTTAATCAAAGCCCGGGAGAAACGTTGCTTCCAGACGAGACATCAGAGCCCTGACTGCTTCTGTAAGTCTACCCGTTCTGTACCGCTCATCCCTCCACTGGAAACAGAACCCTTCTTTCAGAGGGAGACCACAGTGCCCCTCAGGTCTTGGCCTCTCTAGTATCCCCAGTGGCACCCGCATTCAGCTGACCTCCCTCTAGATGCAGAGCAGAGCGAGTTGGTTCTCTTACAGCTCTCCAGCCTGCCCCCACATAGAGCAATCTACACCTCAGCCACCTTCACAACCATCTTAGAAAGCCATCTTACCCGACGTGCTCCCCTAGTGAGTAGTTGTTAAACTTTACATGGGGAGACACAGTGCAGAAGAAAAGATAAAAACCCTTCCAGAAAGCACGTGCCTGTGAAGCAGAGGCAACTTCAGCTTGAAGCGTGACAAGCTGTTGGCTTCAAAAGTCCACCTCGAAAAGGACCCCTGGGAACTAGCCACTGCTGATAGCTCCTCAGTTAAGGGGTGAGGCCTGGGTCATCATGTACACCATCTTTTGCATGTCTTATACAGGTAGCCCCAACTTCTATGAATTCATGGGTGTAATTCTTATGTCACGTACAGAAGATAGACGTTCACAGAACTTCTCCCTATCCCCCCAGTACTTAAATTCTTTCCATCTCCCTCGCTCAGGGTTCCCGGAGCCTTCATGGGGGAGGGGGTTGATATAGCAACCCACCGAGGGCTGAGTGGTCACTCTCTTGCTCTCAGCACCATGACCGATTGTGCACTTACTGCAAAGAAAAGCTTCTCTGATCCAGGACCAGAACAGGCCTGGTCTATGAGGCAAGCATTGATACTGAAAAGCTACTTTAACATCATGACCATTTGTCAAAATAATAATAGCAGAACGTATTCTAAGGACCGTGATCTCCTCAGCCACGTTCTTCAACCAGGGTTATAGTACCAGAACTAAACTCCCTTCCTATGAAGCAGGCCTCAAATCCAATCAGAAAGTAGTTAGTTAGTCACCCACGACAGCCGTACCATTATTACCTGTGAAGCAGGCCTCAAATCCAATCAGAAAACAGCTACTCACCACAACAACAATGCCACTACTGTGCCCGTGGCCACGCCCTGTCTGGCAGGTTAGTAACACAGGACACAGGGTTTGGTGCTGTGTAAGATCACTGATGGGTTTTCTCTCACGCGGCAGCCTTCCAAACACCTGCCAGCACCCTGGAAGGCCATGCACGGGGAAGGGAGACCTTCACGTCCACAGATGGCAGTTTGTTTTCCTACGTCCAAGTGTGCCCAACCGGCTGAGATGCAATCAGGTCACCTGGAGGCTCTGGGCGCAGCGCAGGTGGAAAGGAGTCTGGATGCGTGCCCTGCTTACAGTCCCGCAGAACCCCCAGTGGCCCTGGGAGTGCATTTTGCAAGCTGCTAATCTAGGTCAAATCCTCTGGTTCCTATCTGGAAGGAGCGGGAACCCAAGAAGATTAAGCTGTTTGCTGACGCTCCAAGGCCATTTAATAGTTCAGCGAAGACACACTCAGGCCTCCTGCCATAATTCTTCACCTTGTGCTATTATTTTCTACGAAAACACGAGGGTACCGTGATAATGGATTCTTGTGTAACAGTGAAAAAAAAAAACCACTTAAAACTCAAAGTTGCTCTTATACTATGTGGCCTGAATCTGTCTGTATTCCCATCTCTCAGGGAGCAACTTTGCACCCTGAAGATTTTCTGGCTCTGCCAATCCCTGAGGCTCTATGGGAGGCCACGGTTGCCTCTGCCAGAGACTGGAGGCAGGGTATGCTGGGAAGCTTGAAGAGGGCTGGCTCCCCAACTTCTCTCCTCACTCTTAGCTGGCGGTGAGCCCAGAGCTTCATTGCCCAAAGACACACTGCACACTAGAATCTTGACACACAATCTGGTCACATGTTTGCCTCCTCTCGGTCCCTTCCTGATTCCCACAGGACACGTCCTGATCCACATGGCTTTGCAAGCAGGAGCTGGGGAGGCGAATCCTCACATCACTCCATAATGTGTGTGTGTATAAGTATGTGTGCATATGTATGTGCGCGTGTGTGAATGTGTGCATGAATGTGTATTATGTGCGTGTGCATATGTGTGCGTGTGTGTGGATGCATGTGGGTGTGTGCTTGTGTGTGCATGTGTACATGTGTGTCAATGTGTGCATGAATGTGTGTATAAACATGTATGTGCGTATGTGTATGTGTGTGCATGTGTGGGTGCATGGTGTGTGTGTGTGTGTGTGTGTGTGTGTGTGTGTGTGTGCGTGTGTGTGTTGATATTGGTCTGTCCAACCGTCTCTTCTAATGCCCAGTGGAGGAGGAGGGACCTGCTCAAGGCTTCTACGCTATTCTTCATTTAAGGACTCCTTAACTCCCCTCTGGCTCCGTCTGCATTGTCCACCGTGAACTCTGGGCATGTTTGTACTGGAAATGTGGCAGAAGCTGTGCCCCTGGCCAGACGGAAGGGAGGAGAGAAGGCCTCTGGGCTCTCAGGGCTGCCACTTACTTTAGTCTTTATCTAGGCAGCTCCCTGGCCTATATGAGTCAGGCCACTTCCCTCTGCCCGTCACTGATAGAGCCTTTACCAGCTCCCGCTCGTGGTATTCCCACGGGCCAGCCTGGCCTTAGCCAGCCCGAGGGGGAACGACCGCACCCACACGAGAAAGAGTGCTTCCTATTCTAAACGAAGCCCTACTTGATTTCTGTCATTTCCATTGCCCAGAATCGCACCCAAATTACAGTCCGTTCGGGGCTATTTGTAAAATGTGCCATTATCCTAAACCCACACTGCCCTTCTTTTCAGGAAGAAAGTGAGATCCCTGCCAGTGTGTTTGTGAAGGAGCCCGTTCCCGCTCCCGCGGAAGGCAAGGAGGAGTTTGCTGAGGAGAATAAGTCCCTGGAGGAGACCCTGCACAACGTGGAACTCTCCTCCGATGACGAATTGCCCTGTGACGAGGAAGGCCTGGAAGACAGCGCCGAGGAGAAGCTGGAAGAAAGCAGGACGGAGAGAATAAAGAGATCCGGTCTGAAGAAAGTGGATAGCCTCAAGAAAGCCTTTTCTCGCCAGAACATCGAGAAAAAGATGAACAAGCTGGGCACAAAGATCGTATCTGTTGAGAGGAGGGAAAAGATTAAGAAATCGCTCGCATCCACCCACCAGAAAGCCTCTTCAGGGATAAGCTCCTCTTTCAAGGTTTCTCCCCTATCCTTCGGGAGGAAGAAAGTCCGAGACGGAGAAAGCTCTGCCGAAAACGAGACCAAGTTGGACGACCAGAGCTCCTTCACAGAGGGTGTTTCCGAAGCCTCCCTCCCCAGCGGCAGCGTGGAAGATGGTGAGAAGCCAGCCTTGAAAGGGAACAGCTCCGGCGTGGGCAGCAATGCTGACCTGACCATTGCGGAGGATGAAGAGGAGTCGGTGGATCTGCAGCAGGGGCAGCGGGGGTATGATGAGAGTGGTTACATGCTCGACTCCGAAGAGATGGAAGGATCCGGTGAGAAACAGGTCCAGCCGGCCGTGCTGCAGGTGGACCAGACTGCCTGAGTGCTCGTACAGCCAGCACACGGAGCCAGCTGCAGAAGCCAGCGCTGGCTCAGGGGCATCCGCTTCCCCAAATTCCTGCTCCCGGCTGCGACTGTCCAGGCCATAATCACTAGTCATGCCCTCAGACACACATGGACTCAACAAGCAAAACGCCAGGGGTTCCACTTTTAATTTGCTCTTAAGTTCTGTTTCTGTAGAATTCCTCCAAGTTTGGAATAAGAAAGGGATAGAAGCAGGGCAGTGGCGGCGCTCGCCTTTAATCCCAGCACTCGGGAGGCAGAGGCAGGTGGATCTCTGTGAGTTCGAGGCCAGCCTGGTCTAAAAGAGCTAGTTCCAGGACAGGCTCCAAAGCTACAGAGAAACCCTGTCTTGAAAAAGGAAGAAAGAAAGGAAGAAAGAAAGGGATAGAACAATTAATAAACACCAATCTATTAGGCTTAGTCAGGAAAACTAAAGTAGATTTAAGACAGTAGTCATGAAATGTGATTTTTTTTTGGTCATTCTATCAGCTTGCTGAATTGAGTAGCAGTAACATAGTGATTTCTCAGCATGGTCCATGAAAGATTATTCTTCAGATATGTGACCTAGAATACACGTTAAGTCTGTACACTGAAGATGTAACTCTGTATTTTAAGGAAAAAAAATATTTACAAAAGATAGAGCGCAATGCTCAGCTGATTATTCTCTTATAGGAACCTTGTTCATTCATTACACGTGTGATGGTCAGGTAAGGGCATGGGGACCAGTAAGCTAAGAACCTAGGGTGACGCGGTCGGAACACGAGAAAAGGAATACAAAGGAGACCAAAAGGGAGGATGCTGCAGAGAAAAAAGGATGTACTCAAAAATGAAGTATTGACATTTTAAATCTATTTTACTCTTTAATAACAATACTAAAGAGGCTCATCTATCTTGCAAGGATATGTCTTAGCTTCTCAGTCTTCTCATAGTCTAGTATTATATACTATAATCATATATTCTGGTATAAAAGTCCTGGTTCTTCTCGCTAAGTGAATGGCGGCACACATCCTCTGTGAAGAAGCTAAAAAGGATGCTGTCTCTTTGGAACAACGCAAGTCTGAAATAAGTACCATGTGCTGTTTTGCACGGAGACCAGTCACATAATCCTTTAATATTTTTTTCCATTCTGAAGTGACCTTTCCACCCCATATATGATATAGGTTGATAAGGTATTCAAACCCGCATGTGTCGGAAGAGAAAATTCCAGTCTTTCTTTTTATATACATAATGGTAATGTCATTCCAGGTAATGGTTTATTTATACATTAATTTTGCAGGATACTAATACGTTGTTTTAGATTCAAAAAGCATGCTAGTATTTTATGTCATGTGTTTGTTCATTCTGCCTAACATACTAAAGAGTTGCCTTAACTATTTTTCATTACAAAAATGCCAACATTTTGCTAAGTTACACTGTAAAGATAGGAGGCCCCGGGGCTTGAATTCTCTGCTCTGGGTCTGCAGTGCAGCTGACCTAACTAACTAACTGACTGACTGACAGCTAAAGATGACCCCAGCGACCTGGCAGGAGGAGGTGACTCCAAGCAGCAGTCACAAGCTGCCTCTGATTGCAAGGAACAAGACGGAAACTGTGGGTTGGTGGTGTAACCTCTTCAGCTCTGCTCCTGTGCCACGGTGGATGTAACCCGCAAATACTGACTTGTTGAACTAACAATGCCTGTGTGAAATAAGACCCAATAAACCAAAAAATAAGAAGTGTATAACAGTGTCGGTGTGTTTGATAAAAAACCGTCTTTCGGGCAGAAGGAGCTGATTGCAAAATGTTTGCCGGGTGTAACGGGGATGGTGATTGTTTGTGTCTTGCATTCTCCACCTGCCCCCCCCCCGCCCTATCACATTTAGAAACTCAGCACTCACTCTTTGAGTTTTAACTTTCTCCACACCACCTTGCCAGCTCTATAGCAGGTGAACTGATTGCAGCCGCTTGGTGAATTTGCTAGTTCCAGCTGCATTTGGTAGGATTGCGCCAGGCAGCCCTCGGCTTCGGAACCTGTCGAGCTGCGCGTCCAGTTTGTTCACCCAGATACACTTTTGTCTTCTGCGAGGCCGTGAACTGCATAGACTCTTTGACCCAGCACCTGACGCAGGCTTGTTCCACCTTCTGTAGAGTGACTGTCACTTAATGTGCCTGATGAGCTGGGGGAATCCGTGGGTCCAGGACCCATTTCTATCTCCCGTTGCAAAAGTGCTTTATTTATTCCTATACACGAGACGCTAGTCAGTCGAAACTGCATGCAGACATCCTAAGTTTTACTGGCAATCACATGTATTCAATGTTCCACAGTCGAAGCTTTAAAACCCCAAGCAATAAAACAGAGAATTAGGCCAGATAATTGTTGGGAAGCGCATACCATAGGGATGGGAGCAAGCAGCATCTGTGGCAATGGGACCTATCGGTTTTGTGTTATGGTTGAATTATTTGCATTCTGGTGAAGCTGGGAAGTCCCCAGATTAGATATGTCCTCTTCCCACCCATCCAATAAACCACCCCTAACGTTAAGTGCCTGGGGCTCAGGAACTCGATTAGTGTTCCCCAAATACCAGCTTCACATTAATAAGGACTAAGAGCTGTATTTAGGAGTGGAATCCGGCCATAAGATTCTCCTCTTATATGAATCACAAAAATCACCAAAAAACGAGCAACAAAACGTGATTTTTCTGCAGGATTCATTTCTTTTAAGCTTACAGGTAGTCCAACGGGCATCTTTCGCTTTAACTTAGGAATCCAGATTTTAGAATATGAGAAAGTAAAACCAGACTGAGGATAAGACTTAGTCCTGCATAAATGCACGCGTTCTCGGCACTAGCTTTCCACTGACAGCCTCCGCTCTAGCACTGCCCATTCACTGTGAAGTTTGGGTTTTGTATGATTCTATCCACTAGGAGCAAACTGGAGCTCCTGCACGGCCAAGCAGTTAAGTAAAGGTTATAATGAAAGTCGTTTCCTACATTAAGACACTAATGCCTGAGCCCAGTTAATTCCTGCTCGAAAGTCTGTTTACTGCCCTGCCCTCCAGCCCAGATCTACGTGATTTTATATTGGAGATTGGGAGTGTGAAGAATGGGAGATGTGGGCAGCAATCATTATTAACAGTTCCATAGCAACCACAAGTCCTTCCCTAAAACCCAAGACTCCGGGACTGCAAAACACGCTGTCAGTGAAATTGGCATTGCGACCTTTGTGGGTTGCTTGATCCGGGTGTCCAGATAAAGAATTCTGCAGTCAGCAGCTCATTCCTAAAGGGACCAGGCAGAAAACTCACGCCGTTAAAGGCGCTTTATCCTTTACTTTAACCATCGCGTTATCTTGCGGTATTTGCAAGCCTAAAATTATTTTTAACTCTGCACGCAAACTGTCCAATGAAGAACTCACACCTCTAGAATCCAGCTGGATGTTCATATATTTATATACTTTCCATTGTCAAAAATCGATTTGTTAAATATTTATAGAGCAAAGCAACCTTTACTCTCGTTCATTTGCTGAAATTCTTAAGTGCTTTGGGCAGAATACACAGAAAGTGAAAGGAAAGAACCAATAACTTTTATAGTTTCCTTGGTTCAGGTTGAGCACCCCAATGACCAGCAATTCTATGTGCCTAGAACAAGAATGGTCTCACATATGCAGAATCCTACTGGGGAAGTACTGGATTTCCTCCCTTTTAATAGAGGAAGAACTTGAGATGTTGCGGTTAACTTACTCTAAATGGTAAGGTCAAGAGGAGGGACTCCAGACATTTTTCAATGTTCAGTGCATTCTCATTTAAAGGGAAACTGTGTCTCTCTGATCTGTGTGGCACAGCCCAGTTTCGTGGCTGTCAAAATCCAAAAATGTTACAAGAAGACACAGTGCCTGAACATAATCTATGCAATCCTCCTACGCTTCAAATTCTCTCTCGATTACTATTCCCTAATACAACACGCACATTTTTCAATTTCTTTATACATTTTTATTTTTATGTATGTGTGTGTACCTGTATTGGTTGATGGCACCACAGGTCTGCAAGTGTCTCAGAGGACAAAGGGCAGTGGATCCCCTGGAACTGGAGTTACAAGTGGTTGGGAGAAGCCTGATGTGGATGCTGGGACCTGAACCTGGACCCTCTGCAGGATTAGCAAGCACCCTGAACTGCTAAGCCCATTTCTCCAGCCCAAATAATGCACACATTTTACCCAAGAATTCTTATACCAAATTGTTTAGAAAGTAAAGACGAGAGAAAAGGTCTTTACATTTTAACACTTAAGCATTTGCTTTTTTTTTTCCTGGTTATTTTTGATTTGTGGTTGAACCCACTGATGCAGAACCATGGATACAGGGACCAACTGCTTTTTGTGTGAGGGCATATGACTGGGCCAAGTTGACATAACTAGTAAGGAGTTCCAATGTGCAATCCCCAATCTGAAATCCATCCTGCTAGACAGACTCCTGGCTATGGCATAACCGTGCTTATTGTGAATTGCTTTATAAGCGCTCGGTGGTCTCCCATTCACTTCGTTTTCTCATTTCTCGGGCATCACAGACAGATGCACTTCATAAATGCTCCTCGTGATTGTTATCGCAGGGCCTTAAACACACACACGTAGCTGATGGATTTTGGAGAACTAATCTCAGGATTTTTTTTAAGACCCCATAGGGGCTCTTTAGGTCCTGGGTGTCATTATCAGGGGCTGCAGGGCTCTCTTTCAGACAAGGTTTAACAAGAGCAAGCTGTCGACAGATAGATCCTGCAAGTTGCTCGTTCAAAGATGGTTCATGAGGCCCGCCTCAACCTCTGTATGTTACGGGAATCATATTCCTCCACCATTCTTGAGAAATTGCTATGATCTACTCAGATATGCCTTGCTTCATAGGCTGGTAACAAGAGAAAAATTAGCACAAGGTAGGAAGGAGAAGTTGGGAGGTCATGGTATGTGACCCTTCCAGTGGCTGTAATTTCCATACTACTGTGAAACTTTCTTCTTGGGAAAAACAGAGGCTAGGTTTAAAAAAAAAGCTTGAACCCCCATCTCTATGGGCAAGAAATCAAAGAAAGCCCTCTAGGTCAGCACTAAGGTGGATGCTGCAGGCAGGAACTCCCTCCAAAGGCTTTGGCAGCGGCTACTGACTTAAATGCCGGAAGAGCTCAGACAGAAGTGAAACAGCCTAAGCAGGTGGTGGCAGCTGTGACAAGGCTATCGCAGGTGGGCTTTCTGGTGAAGCAGGTGTGCAACTCACATGCCTGAAGGCATGAGTTCTCCTAACTCCCACAAAGGGAGAGTGTTCGAGAAGCCACAAGGGCTATGCGACTCCAGTTACCATGAGGAAAACCAGGCCAGGGATGCCAAAATTTAGACTTCTTGTTGAGAGAGATA